AAGTGTCCTTCTTCCTAAAACTTTTACTCTGTTTCACTTTCTCTAGCCAAAAACTTTGCTAGTAAATATTAATCTTTCCTTTCCTGTTGCCTTGGTGTTTGATATTTTCTTGTTTAACCATTCCCTCATTAATTCAAGACAATTCTAATTGGTACATTCTAGCAAGCTTTCTCTATGCACTGCTTCAGAAACGACAGAGACTTTTTAAATAAAGACATTAACGAAGTTGATCTGTTTCTAAGATTGAGTATAAATACCACATGTGCTTCCATGAAGCCATTTGTTTCTCTTTGAACATGGGTTTTCAGTAAAAATGAGAATCAAGTCTCTTATTTATTCCAGATGGTCCCAACCCATAATGATAAACATATACGGCTAGTGCCGTATGAAATACTTCAGGTAAATACAATATTTTATAGAAAAGGAAATTTTATTACACATTAAAGAATTTGTTTAAAAGGAAAATTATCATAAATCTAATAGGTAGAATGTATCAACCAAAATGGAAACTGAGATTTTCATCCCACTTATATAGCAGAGAACATATGAAATAATCATAAAAATTAAGATTTTATTCACTCAACATTCATGAGAGGAAATATGTATAGTAGACTTCTTATAAAACTTAGCTCTGTTTAATTCCAAACTTTCTACTAATTATACAAATTCAATTCCATGTACATGTAGATTATGTGAAAACACCCACTACTCAATTAACAGAAGAAAAATAACAAATCTTAATGTAGTTTATACCAAGATTTAATTTAAAAAACACATTTTAGGATAAAGAACATCATTTATCTTTCAATAACAACTAGTCTAAATTGATACATGCTGGTTTCACTATAACCTTAACTAGTGGTTTATAATGAGGTGGGGAGGAGGTTTTTGCTCACTCCACACTTCAGAGGACATCTGGCAAAGTCTGGAGACATTTTTGGTTGTCATAGTTGTAACTGGGGTGGGGCGGGACTGATATGCTACAGGCATCTAACAGACCAAGGGAAGCTGCTAAATATCCTGCAATGCACCCAACAGCCCTTTACAACCAAGAATTATCCTGCCTTTCTAATGACTAAGAAACTCTGTCTTACAGAGAACTAAGACAAAGGACAAACAATAACAAGGAATCATGGAGAGTCACTGTCTGCCTAGGCCCTCCCACCTGCAAGAGCCACCTACCTTTGACGCCTGTGGTGTGGATATCACGTGGACAGTGCTGGGTTTGACTCCATTCGCCTTGGGCCGTTTAAAGAGAGCAAATCTGCTTTTCCTCCGGCCTCTGTCTCCATTAGGTAAAGCACCATTGTACCTATAAACGAAGATGAAAGAGTTCACTTATTTGCAGATTTTTAAAAGTTTTCAGAAGCACAGTTAGATGGAATAAGGGAAAAGACTATCATGGTCATAAAGAATTGCCAACTGAACACCCCACAAAAGGGTTGTACAACAGACTGCAGCTGTAATGAAATTCAAATCACTTCCAGAAACTTAATTTAAGAGTAATGTACAATGTAATTATAGGTTTCCTATTCTATAAAGTCTTCAAGTCTTTTTGGAAAGAGACAGAGTATAAATAAGCAAATGAGAATTCTGCAGAGGCCATATTAGTGCTGGCTCAGTTCAGCAAGCGTCGTTCTAATGGACCCCAGAGAAACACTCAAGAAATATTTTTAAATGAACTAGTTAGAAAATAGCATACTAATTAATCTTATCTCTCACTCTCAAGTCATGTTGATGTCTTAGGATCTTTGTAAGGAGACTAAATTTAGTTACTTGTATTCT